CCTGGCTCGACCACGTTCTAATTCCCTGTGTACTCCACACCGCTGGACCTCTAAAGCCCCCGGCCCCTTTCGAAGTCGTTCCTGCCGCTCCGCACCCCTCCCCACCTCTAACAATCCTTCCACGTCCGTCCTCTCCAAGTCCCCTTCTCCATGCCCCTCCACGGCTCGCCACTAAACGTACAAACCCTTTCCCGATTCAACCCTCCACGACTCGCACCTACACGTCCTACCTCTGCATTATTCATCTACTATACACTCCACTATCAACTCCACCCATTCCCAAAGTAGAATTGAGAATTACAGATACAAGTCTTGCCGTTCTCAGCAAACACATTTAAACGGTTTCTGTTTCAATTATCTGTCATCGTTTCGAGTTGAAAAAAACATTTTTTCGAAAGATTGTTTAAAAGTCTAATGCCCCAGAAACGATTCTGTATAATTAATTAACTGATAATTGATATATTTTTTAATGTTCATTTTTTACTGATCCGACATTTTTGGAGTTCTTCATTTTTCACAAACTTAAAATTTCGTATTATCTTTCTGAATTTGCGTATGTAGGTATTTCTCGACGAGAACTTTAATAGTGCAAAGCAGACGTCAATACCGACTATTATTTTCTAAATAAAACGCGTGAAATAAAATAAACGCCCTCACCGGAAATTGGTTAAAATGTAAAAAAAACATAATTTCGTACTTTCTTTCTGAAATCACGTATGTTGGTACAGCTGTCGACGAGAAATTTAATGGTACAAAGCAGATGTAAATCCGACTATTAGTTTCGAAATTAAACGCGTCTAATAAATTGATCCTCCAAACCCGAAATTCAGGGAAAAAAGGAGAAAAAACTTAATTTCGTACTTTCTTTCTGAAATCACGTATGTAGGTACAACTCTCAAAGAGAAATTCAATAGTGCAAAGCAGACGTCAATCCGACTATTAGTTTCGAAATTAAACGCGCCTAATAAATTGATCCAGGGAAAAAAGGAGAAAAATTTTAATTTCGTACTTTCTTTCTGAAATCACGCATGTAGGAAAAACTCTCAAAGAAAAATTCAATGGAGGAAAGCAGACGTCAATCCGACTATTAGTTTCGAAATTAAACGCATATAATGAATAGATCCTCCAAACCCGAAATTCAGGGAAAAAAGTAGAAAAAGCTTAATTTCGTACTATCTTTCTGAAATCACGTATGTAGGTACAACTCTCGACGAGAAATTCAATGGAGCAAAGCAGACGTAAATCCGACTATTAGTTTCGAAATTAACGCGTCTAATGAATAGATCCTCCAAACCCGAAATTCAGGAAAAAAGTAGAAAAAGCTTAATTTCGTACTTTCTTTCTTAAATCACGTATGTAGGTACAACTCTCAAAGAGAAATTAAATGGTGCAAAGCAGACGTCAATCCGACTATTAGTTTTGAAATTAAACGCGTAATAAATTGATCCTTCAAACCCAAAATCCAGGGAAAAAAGTAGAAAAATTTTAATTTCGTACGTTCTTTCTGAAATCACGTATGTAAGTACAACTCTCAAAAAGAAATTAAATGGTGCAAAACAGACGTCAATCCGACTATTAGTTTCGAAATTAAACGCGTCTAATGAATAGATCCTCCAAACTCGAAATTCAGGGAAAAAAGTAGAAAAAGCTTAATTTCGTACTTTCTTTCTGAAATCACGTATGTAGGTACAACTCTAGACGAGAAATTCAATGGCGCAAAGCAGACGTCAATCCGACTATTAGTTTCGAAATTAAACGCGTCTAATGAATAGATTCTCCAAACCCGAAAATCAGGGAAAAAAGTAGAAAAAGCTTAATTTCGTACTGTCTTTCTGAAATCACGTATGAAGGTACAACTCTCAAAGAGAAATTCAATGGTGCAAAGCAGACGTCAATCGGACTATTAGTTTCGAAATTAAACGCGTCTAATGAATAGATCCTCCAAACCCGAAATTCAGGGAAAAAAGTAGAAAAAACTTAATTTCGTACTTTCTTTCTGAAATCACGTATGTAAGTACAACTCTCGACGAGAAATTCAATGGAGCAAAGCAGACGTCAATCCGACTATTAGTTTCGAAATTACACGCGTAATAAATTGATCCTTCAAACCCAAAATCCAGGGAAAAAAGTAGAAAAATTTTAATTTAGTACTTTCTTTTTAAAACACGTATGTAGGTACAACTCTTAAAGGAAAATTCAATGGTGCAAAGCAGACGTCAATCCGACTATTAGTTTCGATATAAAACGCGTTTAATTAATAGATCCTACAAACCCGAAATTCAGGGAAAAAAGTAAAAAAAATAATTTCGTACTCTCTTTCTGAAATCACGTATGTAGGTACAACTCTCGACGAGCAATTCAATGGTGCAAAGCAGACGTCAATCGGACTATTAGTTTTGAAATTAAACGCGTCTAATGAATAGATCCTCCAAACCCGAAATTCAGGGAAAAAAGTAGAAAAAACTTAATTTCGTACTTTCTTTTTGAAATAATGTATGTAAGTACATCTCTCGACGAGAATTTCAATGGTGCAAAGCAGACGTCTATTTCTTAATTATTTTTGAAATATTGTAACTAATAGTCGAATGAGTTCTCCTTTGCAGCTTTTAATTTTTCGTCTAGAGTTGTA